GAAGGGGTTTATTCTGAGATAACACACACACTCACACACACACACACCTGAAGGGGGTTTATTCTGAGAGAAAAACCTGCTGGACGTACATTATCCCGCTTATTACACGGATACTTGCCACATAAGCACGAAATATTGATCTGAGTCTAAATATTTTATTAACTCTTTAAACGCAAAGCTTCCGCGGAGAGAGCCGTTTCAGCGGCAAGTTCAAACTAGACGGACATTTAAGAGATACGGTCATAACACTTATTACACAGCATTTCACCACATAAATAATTATGAAGATTAGAGATATTGATTTCAGATTAAACTGTTAAAATCGTACCTGTTTGTATCTCATAATCCAACAATATACAAATCAATAGTCACAAAATGGCCGCCGCTGCGTTTGTATGAAACGAGAGAGCGAGTCCACGACACTGTATGGCATAATTAAATAACTCTACACAAAATATTGATTCGACTGAGTTTTAATATTTTATTAGCTCACCAAAAGCAAAACTTCCACAAAGAAAACCCGTTCCTAGCGAGCGTTTAGAGTTCAGTGACTGTTTTCTGTTGTTATCTGGGAATAATATACTGGGATTGACCAATCACAATCAGCGGTGTAATAATATTTGACATTTATGTGTGTGTAGAAGATGTTCAGAAGAGCGAGAAGATCACCATCTCCAACACCTTCAAGGAGCAGGTGATCCGGCCCATCCTGAAGGTACTGATGCTCCTCACGCACTCAAGCTCTCTGATTGGCTGCTGATGTGTCACCGCTCGATCTGATTGGTGCGTTTCAGGGTCACTTCAGGCGTGACGAGTTTCTGGGGAGGATCAACGAGATCGTTTACTTTCTGCCGTTTTGTCACTCTGAGCGAATCCAGCTCGTCAGCAGAGAGCTCAACTACTGGGCCAAGAAGGTGAACACACACACTCTCACGCACACACACACACACTCACTCACCCTAGGATCAATAGCAGCTGCTGCTCTTGACGACTGTAATCATATTAGTGAAGTTAACATGTGGTCTATTCATAAATATTTAAATATGTATAAAACTTCATATCTGTCAGACGTCTGCCTGCAGGGACAAACACGCTGGTTCAGGGGCTTTAGTCATACATCAGTGTGTGTGTGTGTGTGTGTGTGTGTGTGTGTGTCATTTGAAATATGTTGATGCCAGCATTTAAAAAAAATCTAAATGATCTGATGTGGTACAGTGAGAAAAACAACAAGCTTCAATGTTAAACAACATATTATTTAATATCAGTAATATTAATAATAATTATTATAATGTTGTATATATACACACACACACACACACACATATGTATCTATAGTGTTGATGTGTGTGTGTTCTCGCAGGCCAAGCAGAGGCACAACATCACGCTGCTGTGGGAGCGTCCCGTGCTGGAGCTGCTGGCGGGGGGGTATAACCTGCACTACGGCGCTCGATCCATCAAACACGAGGTGACACCTGTCAATCACTCATCAATCATCAACATTAGCAGTGTGGAAACTGTATTTTTCAGGATTCTTTGATGAATAGAATGTTCAAAAGAACAGCATTTTTTTAAATGGAATCTTTTGTAACATTATAAATGTCTTTACGGTCAATTTAATGCATCCTTGATTAATAAAAGTATTAATTTCTTTCTTTCTTTTTTAATTTACCCCAAACTTTTGAATGGTAGTGTATCACGGTTTCCTCAACAATATGAACTATGTTTTCAATTGAATTTGAATTGATCAAAAGTGACAGTAAAGACATTTATAAAGTTACAAAAGATTCTATTTCAAATAAATGCTGCTCTTTTGAACTTTCTATTCATCAAAGAATCCTGAAAAATAAAATGTTTCATAGTTTCCACAGAAATATGAACTGTTTTCAACACTGATAATAAGGACCAATGAAGGATCATGTGACACTGAAGACTGGAGTAATGATGCTGAAAATTCAGCTTTGATCACAGGAATAAATTACACTTTACTATATATTCACATAGAAAACAGCTGATTTACATTACATTAATATTTCAGTTCCCTTTTGAGGGAACTCGCACTGCGTCGATGACGACACTCTGTTCTGTTTCTGTCTATTTGGTGTTGTCTGTGATATATTTTTATTAGTGCCCTCAAACGATTAAAATAGTTAATTGCGATTAATCGCATCAACGTCATAGTTAACTCGTGATTAATCGCAATTAATCGCACATTTTTATCTATTCTAAATGTCTCTTGATTTCTTTTGTCCCATTATTTTTTTCTCATTTTAATGCTCTTATCAACATGGAAAAGTGGATCGGCTTGCTTTGTGCAAATGTTTTTTATTAAAAACAACATTGACATATACTGTGTTCAATTTCACACTAACATTCTCACTTGGAGCAAATAATCTCTCACACAATGTAACACTGTCCATCAATAAAAGGGTGAAAGAAATACTGACGAGGTCCTCATATTGACGAGGGGGCGGAGAATTCGCATCAGCTGTGTGTGTGTGTGTGCTTGGCCATCATCAAGTGGTGTTTCAGACTGGACGTGCTGCGATGATGATAGCTCAGTTCACAACGACAAAACACACAGATCACTTTGGTCTCGTCAATGGAGCCATTTGGCAACTTTTTAAAAGTAAACTTTCCATTCAGAATCTTATTGGCATCCATTTCAGCGTCTCGCGCTCGTCATCCACTCAAAACGTAACGTTAACCTACTATTTGGCCGGCTCGCAGACACAAACAAGTGTGTGCGGCGTGCCTGTTGTTTTGTTTCCGGTCTAGCTAGATTGGCTTGCGCTTTCAAAACGTCCTCGCGCGGCGCAAGCCATTCATGAAAATGAATGGGTTTCATATCGCAGCGCCGCGCATGCCACGTCCTGTTGCAAAAGCATGTGAAAAAACTACAAAGTTTGCTAGGCCAAAATGACCGCTAATCGCGCGATAAAACAATTAACGCCGTTAAAATGGGTTTGCGTTAACACCGTTAATAATAACGCGTTTAACTGACCACCCTAATATATATATATATTTGAAATGGCTAGTAAGCAGTTCATGTCTCCTTCATTTATACAGCGCTTTTAACAAAATAAATTGTTTCACAGCAGCTTTACAGAGATAATAGGAAATTAAAGTAACAGAGATTGTTTAGGCTTTACAGCAGCTCTAGAATAAAGTTATTGTCCAGCTAAAGTTAGTTTTGATTGATTCACTTCCGTTGCAAAGATCATTAGTTATTAACTTAGGCCGCTAACACGACACCGCTCTAACAGAAAACCCTTAACGCGCTCCGGCCGCTCATTTGCACAACAACAGTGTTTGGCGCTCGAGAACGCAAACCCTGAAATAGGTTCCAAGGTGCAAGCCGTGAAATTTTTTGAAAAAAGGTTACCTCTGCGCAAACTTCAAAAACGCATGAAAACGCTGACGGTGTATTACGTGTTCAGTCTATAGGTATGCGCGTTTGAATATATATGTCTGCAAGCATGTAGTCTTTCTTTACAAATTGACCTCAACAAATTGGCCTTAAAAATGTATAATACAGAATTATTTATCGCTTCCACGTAGCCTGGAACTTAAAGAAGTGTGTGCATCCCTGCCCTCGCTTTCTCACCTCGCTTTGGAGGTTGTGAGGCGTGCAGTGGCCAAACTAAACCTCTTTTAGCCGGCGCTTCCTGCCTCTCTTGTGGCCAACTGTTGTTTAGTTTAGCCACTGCACCTGAGGTTCACTTTCGGGGGCGTAGCGTACCAATATTGGGTTCTTCCATTCGGCCTAGCACTCTCCGCGCGCACTTTCACATACCCCTTTTCCACCAAGGCAGAGCTGGTGCTGGTTCGGAGCCAGAGCCTAGTTTTAAATCGGTTCTTTGTTTTTCGACCACCAAAGCACCAGCTCCGAACCAGTAAAAGTGGTTCTTAAATAGCACCAAATTATTGCTGGTCTAGAAGTAAGAACCGCTTACGTCAGCGGCTGGGGGCGGGGTTACCGTGACCAACAAGACGAACAGAAACTTGTGACCGGCATTTTTTAAATAGCAGCTAATCATGCTAATAGCAGCTTTATTGTAATCTCCGTTAAAGCAAGTTACGGCGACCTGCACAAATGTGCTGGATTCGCCGTGTTTGGATACCGATGTAGGTTTGCAAAGCCATGAGTAACGCAACGACCGGCATTGTTGATGGAAGGCTTGTTCGAGATGCATCGGAGCGGCGTGGACTGATCGGAGCTGCGGGAGTGTTTGGAGAGCATACGACTCCTTCTGCTTTTGGATCGCTCTCGCAGTTCGAGATTCGCAGTGCCAAACCATCTCGAACAAGCCTGGTGTGGTGTGTTTGTATGTGCCGCGCTAGCGTTGCTGAGCAACATGAGATGTATACAGTGACGTAAGATCTGGCTCTGTGATGGCTGTCTAGCCTGTGGAAAGGCAAACCGGTTCTTTGAAAGCTCGTAAGTCGAACCAACTCCGAACCAGCACTAGCTCTAGCTCTGAACCAGCACCTGGTTCTTGTTGGTGGAAAAGGGGTAACAGAGTGCATGGATGCAGCCCTGGCCTCGCTGAGGCTTCTGGGCATCCGGGTGCTAAACTATATCGACGACTGGCTTATTATGACCCAGTCGCAGGAGCTGGCAGTTCGGCATCGAGATGTCGTCCTTGGCCACATCCAGAGCCTGGGGTTGAGACTCAACACGTGTTGACATCCGCCCAGCGGACTACGTTCCTGGGGGTGGGGTGGGACTCGACTACGATGCGGGCACATTATGTCTTCTGCATGTATCGAGTCCATCCTGGCCATGCAGACCACGATAAAGCTAGGCTGTGCCATCACTGTAAAACAGTTTCAGGGACTGTTGGGGCCACCACTGGGTCATTGCATTCGGCCTGCTGCACTTCGAGCCCTACAGTGGTGGTTGAAAACCAAAGGGTTTTCCCCCGAGGAAAAACATCCATTCCTCATGTTAAGAGTTATCCGCAGATGCCGTCCCTATCAATGTGAAAGAAACCTTGGTTTCTGTCCCAAGGTCCTATGCTGGGAGTGACATGTCGCCGGAAAGCCGTTTCGACAGACGCCTCGCTCACGGGCCGGGGCGCAGTCATGGACGGCCGCTTTACGAGAGGTCTATGGCAGGACTATCATTCTTCTTAGCACATAAACTGCCTGAAGATGTTGGCGGTCTTCCGGGCTTCCTCCCAGACCGCAAAGATCACCACGTTCTTGTGAGAACAGACAATACGTCAGTGGTGTCCTATTTAAACCACCAGGGGGGGTCCTCTATCCAGACTGGCGCATCAGATCCTCCTGTGGTCCCAGGGGAAACTGTTGTCTCTCAGAGCAATGTATGTCCCAGGAGACCAGAATCAGGGGTCCCGTCGAGGCAGGGGCTGTGCCCGGGGAATGGAGACTTCACACCGAGTTTGAGGAGTCGATATGTGAGAGGTTCGGCCCAGTGGAAGAAGATCTGTTCGCGTCTCGAGAGACGACACACTGTCCACTGTGGATCTCCCTCACACATCCAGCCCCGCTGGGGTTTAAATGCCATGGTGCAGGCGTGGCCGAGGCTGCGTCTGTACGCCTTTTCCCCCGATCGCTCTGCTCCCGGGAGTTCTGGAGGTAGTCCGTCACAACGGGGTCAGTCTACTTCTAGTAGCTCCGTTGTGGCCGGCCCAGGTATGGTTCTCAGACATGATATCACTCCTGGCAGGCCCCCCATGGGAGATCCCCATCAGGAGAGACTTGTTAACGCAGGCAGAGGGCTCAGTATTTCACCCTCGCCCAGAGCTGTGGAAACTGTGGGTCTGGCCCCTGAGGGGGCACCGTACCGAGAGGCCGGCCTGTCAGCAGGAGTAGTCGAGACCATACTCGGCTCCCAGAGCTCCGTCCACTAGGAAGCTGCATGGCCTAAAGTGGAATGTTTTCTCCATTTGGTTTAGAGAGCATTAGGTGGACCCAGTTAACTGCCCCGTGGCTTCAGTGCTGGAGTTCCTCCAAAATCGCTTCTCGGCTGGTCTTACCACGTCAACACTCAAGGTGTACTTGACTCGTTTCCACGTTCCTCTGGGTGATGGCCCTTTGGGAAGACATCAGCTGGTCGTTCCTCCGTGGGGCTCGGAGGATGAGGCCTGCGACTCGCACCAGAGTTCCCACATGGGACCTGGCAGTGGTTCTCGAAGTGGTTCTAGTCGAGGCCCCCTTCGAACCTCTGGAGTCGGCTGAGGCCAAGAACCTGTCACTTAAGGTGGTCTTTCTCCTTGCCATTACTTATCTTAAGAGGGTAGGAGATCTCCAGGCGCTCTCTCTATCTTCCAAGTGCCTGGAGTTTGCTCCCGGGAATATTAAGGCTATCCTGCATCCTAGGCCGGGCTATGTCCCTAAGGTGCCGTCTAATATGGCGAGGTCGGTCATCCCATACCTCACGTGACGGCGGATGAAGGAAGACTGGGTCACTCTGTACACATTCATGAGATTTTATAGACCCCTTTTTGCACCGACATCGTGATTACGTCACGGCGTTAGCTGGAGGCAAAACAAAGGGAAAACTGGAGGCAGCCAATGAAAACCAGCACAGATTTGGATACATAAGGAGCTTAAAATGTCATCTTGTTGTGTTGTTGGGTGCAAGAATCGAATAGTTTCACTCAAACTCCAGACGCGTTACGCTAAGAGGCGTTCCCCATAGTGTCGTCATCGACGCAGTGCGAGTTCCCTTCTCAGGGAGCAAGGGTTACAGTCGTAACCCGAGATGATTTTTTACTGCATTTTGATTAAATAAATGCAGCTTTGATGAGCAGAAGAGACTTCAAAACATTAAAAATTGCAATTATTCCAAACTTTTGACTGATAGTGTATATACAGCATAGTTACATTGTGTGTGTGTGTGTGTGTGTGTGTGTGTGTGTGTGTGTGTGTGTGCAGGTGGAGCGGCGGCTGGTGAATCAGTTGGCCGCTGCGTTCGAGCAGGAGCTTCTGCCGAAGGGATGTACACTGCGACTCTCAGTGGAAGTGGAAGGAGGACAGGAAGTGAAGGAGGAAGTGAAGGGTGGAGGACAGGAAGTGAAGGGCGGAGGACAGGAAGTGAAGGGCGGAGGACAGGAAGTGAAGGTTCTGCGTCTGGAGCTGGTGGGAGACGACAGCACCGCCCGAACACTGAACATCCGCTCGCCACTGAACCCCGACGACGTGAACTACACCCCCCGACACCACTGAAACACATGCTCGAGTCCGGTTAGTGTGTGTGTGTGTGTTAGTGTGTAAATATGACATCACTGACTTCAGTGAAGCTTCAGAAACACAGGAGAAGTACGTGTTGTTTTAGTGTTCATCAGATTATTGGCAAACATGTTAAAAATATGGTGCGTTCAATGTTTCATCACAGTTGAGCTCGTAACTTTAATAACTCACATAAATCACTGCAGCTTTATGATGTTGGTGATAATGAAGGTTTTCGTCACGTTTCCTGAGCGTTTGTCATGTGTACAGACTTAAAATATGACACACACTCACACATATACA